CCCCGCCCGCCAGCGGCCTCACCGGCTTTGTCGAAGGCCTTGCAGGCGCCTTCGGGGCTGAGCATGCCCAGCCTCAGGAACTGCAAGGAGGTGTTCGGCTTCAGCATCACGTTGATACCGCCCACGATGGCCGCGGGGCACTCCCCACTGCGGATGGCCTGGAAGGCGCTGTGCAGGGCCAGCAGGCTGGAGGAGCAGGCCGTGTCCAGGGCTACGCTGGGCCCTGTGGGGACGCGCCATGAGGACTGGGCCGCCCGAGTGCCCCCCACCGGTGGCTGCGCTAGCTGACGGGGAGCAGGATGGAGAAAGGGCGGGCTGCAGCGCGAGGGTCTCCGCCTGTCGGACGGGGACTGGGTCCGGGACTCTGGGGGCCTGGCCTAGCCCCCTGCGGCTTCCCCACTGGGCACTCGTGGGCACCGGCCCCAGGTCCCCGGGTCCCGGGCGACAGCCACACTCACCTTTGAAGTCGAAGAAGAAGGACAGGCGGTTGGCCATCATGGCCCGCTGGCAGCCCACCATGCTGTAGCCCAGGAGAGTCTCGGGGTCCCGGCTCAGGGCCTCAGAAGCCTCGGAGCCACTCACGCCCACCCAGACCCCGGTGCTGGTACCGCGCAGGGAGGCCGGGTTGATGCCTGCCGGAAGCCGAGGTCAGACCCTGCTGAGGTCAGGCGGTGTCCAGCAGGTGCACACCCCCTACCCACCAGGGAGGAGCCGCCGGGCAGGAGGAGGCGTTGAGTGGGCAGTGGGCCCAGCCTCTGTGTCAGGCCAGGCGGTGGGCAGCCCAGGTGGGGAACAGAGACAGGGCCGTGGAGAAAACAGCCATTGTGGGAAGGCTGGACACCAGAGGGGGCTGCAGGCCTGGTGAGGACGCGTGGAGGCGGCCCCGGGGAGGACAGAGGGCGGCATTGTCCCAGCAACTCCCCGGCTCTGGTGCTGCCGCAGGCCTGGCGAGCCCCACTGGCCAATGGGTGCCCACACTCCCACGGCAGCGGCCTCGGGAAGGCTGCGATAAGGGATCGGAGCAGACAAAGGCTGAGTGTCCGGGCTCGGAAGGAGAGGGGCAGGCTAGCCCAGGAGCCAGCCCCGGGGAAGGGCTGGAGAAAGGGGCCTCGCCTCCACTCAGTGTTACACCCAGACCCCGAGAGAGCTTCGGGGTCAAGGGAGGGGACCCAGCCAAGCTCAGTCTGACGCTGAGGGCCACGCCCCCCACCCAGGACAGTCTTCCCCGTCCCCTCCACCCAGTGGAGGGGACGGCCCCCTACCCAAGCAGGGACCTAGGGTGGAGGCACAGCAGCCTTGAGGCTGAGGCTGTTTGGCTTCCAGAGGCCAGATGGTAATCCTCGGAAGGAGGGCAAAGGCCAGGGGGCCAGGGCCCTGGAAACACCGGGATGGGGGCGGGGCGTAAGGGACCAGGCATTGCTGCAGCTGGTCCAACACGTGGCCGCTGGTCCTGGATCTGGGATGGCCTGAGCTTCTTGTCCCACGGCTGCCTGGGCGACATGTGGGACCCCCTCCTCTCTGCCTGGGAGCCCCCTCCTGGAGTCTCCTGTGCATCCGTCACCCTACTTTCTGCCCTGAGATCCGCCGTGGTGGGAGTGAGGAAACCAGGAGGCCGGGACACACCCAGGCACCTCGGTGAGCAGCAGAGCCTGGCAGGCCGAATGGCCTGGGCACCCCTCACCTTCTGCTCCCCAAATGCTCTGCTCTGACCCCCCACCCCGAGCCCCCAACCACCCACCTCCGTCCACAATGGCCTCATAGGTGACTTCCAGCAGCAGTCGGAGCTGGGGATCCATCGTGTGAGCCTGCTTGGGGTGGACCCCGAAGAAGGAGGCATCGAACTTGGACAGGTCCTTCAGCTTCCCTGCCCGCCGAGGCAGGCCATAGAGCCCTGGGCCGGGAGGTAGGGGGCATAGGTTATTCCTCCCTGGCCCGGCACCAGGCTGGGGGTGCTCTGGGCCGTGGAGCAACCAACGGTGGAATAAGGAAGCTGGGAGAAGGGCCAGGCGGGGGAGGGCTCCATGGGGTCTGTGGTCCAATGGGCAGTGTGGGATCCCTCACGGCCCCTCCTCAGGGGTATCCCCACTTGGGCACCTGGTATGGCCCCAGAGCAGGACACAGGCACCCCCTGCAGGCTGGCTGGAGACTCTCAATGGCCTGCCACTCCGGGCCCCACCACGCTGACTCACACCTGCTGATCAGGTAAGGCCACCTGAGCTAAGGCGGGGTGAGTCAGCCCGCTTCCTGAAAGCGGGTCTTGGAGTCTTATCTGACGGCTGGAACATTTGGGCTAGGCTGACTAGGCCAGGAGGCCTCCCTTGCTCCGGCTCTCCTTGCAGGGGGACCCAGCCAGCCTCCCTGCCCCAGCTGCCCCCAACCCGTCAGTCAGCCTTCCTGCTCTCGGCAGCAGCCCTGACAGGCAGCAGGTGTTGGGGTGTCAAAAGGGGGCCCACTCACCGGTCTTCCACCTCCGGTCATCGTCCGTGACCATGTCCACACCGTTGATCAGGTTGTCCCAGAATTCCTGCATGTTCTCTGACTCGGGCAGCTTCCCGGACATGCCTGCGATCACCACCTCCTCCATGGCTCTGTCTGGGTGAGGGAGGGCGGCTGTGAGGGCCCGGCAAGATTCCGCCACCCCAGGCTCACGCTGCCCCCATCCTGCCTCCTGCCCGGCTGCTCACTCCTTGGCATCACAGCCTCCCTGGGAACCTGGCTGACCCCTGCCCCACACGTGGGTCTGAGAGCCGGTGCTCAGAGGCATCGCTGGACAAACTGAGACCCAGGCCAGGCTGCAGCCCCTAGGCCGTCCTGCCCAGTGGGATCTTATGTGACACACTCGTCCGCCCCCCTCATCTCTCACCATACCCTGCCACTCGCCACCACCAGACATGGACCTGGAATTGAGGAATGTGGGGCGGGGGTGGGGGGTTCCCAGGGAAGGGCAAAGGGGCAGCAGGTTCGAGGACGGCAGGGTCGGAGCTGAGAGGGGGCCTCATGGGGGGGGGCGGGAAGAAGTGCCCACCGCCACTGGCCAGCTGGCCCTGCACTCAGCTCCCACAGATCACCCCACGGGTCACCCCAGTTCTCAACCTCTGACCTGCACGCTGAGCAGTACTGAGGGGAGGGAGGGTGGAGGGTGCCCTCAGCATGTGCTCTGGTCCTGGCCCAGCCCACGGGCAGCCCATGCCTCACGCCTCCTGCCAGGGTGAGGACCTGGGGGACTGGCCTGAGCTGTTGGGGTGCCAAGGCGTGGCAGGGCCCTGGGGGAAAGATGGCCCCTCCTGCAGGCCTGGCCTCAGGCTCCTTGTTTGTTGCCTGTCCACAGCCCGCCTGTCCCAAGACAGGAGCCCCGAAGACCTAGGGTCTGGGATGGGGCTCCTCCCACGTGGCTCCTGCAAGGGGGATTCCAGAGCCTGACCCACTCAGGAGGTGACAAGGTCGGGGGCGGCCTAGCAACTTCCACTCATGCTCCAGGGGCTCATGGAGTCCCGCCCGCGTGCACTGCACTCCCCGGACTCGCCCTGTTGCCCCTGCTTCACCCCACCTCGGGGTCTTTCCCAGGGAGGGAGGGTGGACCTCTGCCCTTGGGCAGCGCCCCTCCTCACCCCCCTGGGTAAAGGGCCCTCCGGCAGGCTGGGGCCTCTTCCTCCAGAAAGCGCCGCTGTTCTGCCTGCTTGCTATTCACGCCGAGTCTGGGCTGGGCACAGAGCGGGGAGCCGCGAGGCGCCGGCCTTTCCCGCGCGGCTCCGACTTGGGCCCTTGTCGGGGCTTTCAAACAGCACTGGGCCGGGGGCAGTCGAGCCCGGGGCAACTCCCACGTGACGGGACCCTCCCCGCCCCGCCCTCCCCCACCCCCGGTATTCAGAAATGCCGCCCCTCCCAGGTCCGCTCCAGCCTCCGGTGGCCCCCCAGGAAAGTCAGAGGGGCCACTGCGGCTGGGATCCGAGTGTCTTTGTGGGCGCAGGGCTGGGCAGGGGGCTTCCTCCAGCCTTGGGGTTCGCAGCGCCAGGCCTGCCCCACACCAAGATGGCCGTTCGCAGGCCTTCGCTGCACGCGCTGCGCGCCCCCCTCCCCAGCGCCCCCTCCCCTGCCCCGGCCGAGTTGCGGATCCCTCAGCCCGGGGCGCCCCGTGGGGTCAGACACGAGACAAGGGGACGCAGGGCGGCCAGAAACGGAGGGATGGCGGCTCTTTGAAAGGGAGCGCACCGGCTGCGGGAGGCCCCGGTTCCGTTCCCCGGCCCCGAGGTCCCCCAGCCGCAGTTCCATCAGCCCCGGCCCGGCCCGGCCCGGCCCAGGCCCTGGGCCCAGGTCTGTCCCAGTCCGCCTGCCCCCGGCCGCGAGGTCCCCTGGCCCCGGCTCCATCACCTAGCTTCCTGGCCCAGGCCCCGGCCCAGACTGTATCTCCATCCTCCCACCCCCGACCCCGTGGTCCCCCGCCGGAAGTCCCCGACCTTGGCTCCATCATTCCTCTGGCCCGGGCCCCGGCCTCCCAGCCCAGGCTCTGTCCCTGTCCTCTCAGCCTCGTGGTCCCCCGGCCCCAGCTCTGTCCCCATCCCCGGATCCACCATGCTCTCGGCTCTGTCCCAGTCGCCCCGGCCTCGTGGTCCCCCGGCCCCGGCTCTGCCCCCAGACCCGGCCGCTCGTACCTGAGGCTCGGCGGGTGCGGGCGGCGGGTGCGGGAGGCGGGCGCTCGGCGGCGGCGTGGAGAGGAAGGATGGAGCGCGGAGGCGGGCGGAGTAGAGGCCGCGGCGCCTTTCTCTCTGGCTCCCTCTAGCTCGGCGCCGACTCTATTTAAACGCGGCCATCCCCGGGCGGCCACGCCACATGGGCTGACAGCTTGGCTGCGCCGCCCAGGCCAATGAGCGTCGGGGCTGCGCCCCGGGGCCCGGCACACCGCGGAGAGTGGGGTGATT